CCTTATTTTATAGTGTTTACTTATACAATATAATATTAATTTTTTTTCATGAAAATATAATTTTTTTAAATATTTTATTAATATAAAAAATATATATCCTTATTTTACCAAAGTTATTCATAAAAAAATACTTACACTATAAATATGATGCCAGATTTTTTTTAAATACTCATATCACATTGATATTTAAAATTTGCTAAATTACAGTTTTGATGCCCTAATTTTACCTATTTCACAAAATTAATCCCCCTATTTTAAATTCAAATAGTTTTGTCCCCCTTCTCACGATTTTTATAGAAAATTGATGAGATGTTGGATTTTTAACTTATATTTTTTATTTATAAAATTTCACAATAGATTTATATATGATGATTTATCAGGTTTCACAGGACCAAAATAGTTTAAATTAAAATAGAATGATCAGTACAAGAAAAGTTGTATTTAGTTGGAGGCTTTTGCTAAAGGTAAAGCCCCTCACTAAAAAAACAATATATATATATATATATATATATATATATATATATATATATATATATATATATATATATATATATATATATATATATATATATATATATATATATATATATATATATATATATATATATATATTAAAATCAAAAATGTGAGGTGACCCATCGCAAACGTGGGGGAAAATTTTTGAATTTTGAAATTAAAAATTGTTAGGGGTCACCCCATCAAAAAGGAAAGAGCGCTAAAATGGACTGGAAAATGTTATCATTTGCGAGGGATAACCCCTCACCAATTGTATCTGTGCACTTAGCGCGGAGCTACCCCTCGCTAGTTGTGATGGTAAAGTCAAATTTGCCATAAAAATTATTTATTCCTATTTCTAAAGCCTGCTACGTGAAAAAAAAATAAGCATGTAACATGTCAACATTTGCTAGGGACAATCCCTCGCAAATGTTATCCTCTTTGACTGCATGAGGGTAGTCCCTCGTAAGCTGCATACCATGTGCTATCCAGCATGTAAAGCATTGACACGTCATAATTTTGCTTGGGGCGGCCCTCGCAAATTATGACCGTTATGTCCTCCGTGGGAACCCCCTCACTAATTTCCTACCATAAATATATGGTCGTTCTTCTTTTCCAGACACATTCTCTCTCTCATTTTTCTGCTCTCTCTCATTTTGCTTTCACCCTTCTTCTTTTCTCATTTTTCATTAGAACAACTTCGATAAAACATCCATTTCTTCTTCTTTCAAATATTCTTCCAATCTAAATTTAGGTAAGTATTATTGTTTTTCTATAATTTCTTTAAATTTATAATTTAGATTTACTATTTTTTATTTGGTGTTGCATGTATACATTTATTCATATAAAGGTGTTAATTTTCATCAAAAGGGAGCTTCAAATTTAATTGAGCATCAAAAGATACACATATATTTTTTCTTTTTCAAGATTTTAGGTGTATTTGATATTGATATAAAAAATAGATTATATTAAATACATATTTAGAAAATATGTAAATTTGTAAGAAAAAGGTATATATTTATTTTGAAAACATTAAATATATATTTAATATTTTTATAAAAGAACATTTATAAAATTAGATTTAGAAATATATTATATATTTTTATAAATGAATAGATTATACATTTATATATGCTTTTTATTTAAAAAGTATGAATTAAATCATAAAAGTATATAATTTGTAATATAGTTTTGTTATATATTAATAAACACTTTTTATTTAGAAAGTATACACTTTTTAAAATATTTATATATTTATAGAAAATATGAATTAAATCATATAAGTATGTGTTTGAGATATGCAATGCCGCTAATAATTAGGAAAAAAAATTGTTATTCAATAAGATGGAGAAAATTATGTATTTATGTTTTATATATTATTTGTAAATTTGAAAACATGAAAATATGTAAATTTGTAAGAAAAAAGTATATATTTATTTTGAAAATATTAAATATATATTAAATATTTTTATAAAAGAACATTTATAAAATTAGTTTTCGAAACATATTATATATTTTTATAAAAGAATAGATTATATATTAATATATGTTTTTTATTCAAAAAGTAAGAATTAAATCATAAAAGTATTAATTTTTAATATATTTAGATAATATGCACTTTTTTTAAAGTATATAATTTGTAATATAGTTTTGTTATATATTAATATACATTTTTTATAATATTTATATATTTTATTAATATATTTATAGAAAATATAAATTAAATCATATAAGTATGTGTTTGAGAAATGCAACGACGCTAATAATTAGGAAATATTAGGGCAGATTTGTCATTTATTTCGATGGAGAAAGATATGTGTTTATGTTTTATATATTATTTTTAAAATTTTAAGTCTGAGTTGTTTTTTTTATGTTTATACTAACTCAAAAGTTTATTGTTTACCGTCACATCATGCAATATCGTGTGTAACAAAAGTTATTAAAGAAAATTATAAAAAGTTTTGGCTGACTTATGGAGCACTTACCAAAAAATAGAAGAAAGATTGGTTTAATTTATTTAAAGTATAAGGTCGTGTCATTTAAGTAATTATTATTTTAATTTCTTTTATATTTATTGAGATATTCACGATTATATACTTCATTTAATATTTTTTGAATTTATAAAACAATGTAGGGGAAATGTTGTCGGGTCATTACAGATCAGCAACAACTAATAGAAAATTTTGAATCGAAAAGTGCTTTCCGATTATCTGACACGCTTAGGAGTGTTCAATTTAATTGGGAAAGAAAAGGAATATGTCCCTGTTAATAGGTGAAGATGTATTTTAACAGCTTATTGACCATTAGAATTCAAATATCTTTAAACAAGTATCTAAAACAACAACAAAAAATAGAGCATCTGAAATTGGTGGCTGCAACAACGCAACAGACAATATTAGTGTTGCTGAAATTGTACATAGGATGATAAATTTATTTATGTTTTACTTAAATTCTCATTTAGAATTTTGATTAAAACTAATTATTTTTTGACTTATGTTTCATTTAATTAGCGAGAAGAGTTGGGTAGAACTCCGATACTTAATGAGATCCATCTAAAGACTCATATCAAGAAAAAACGAGAATTTTTCGATCAATGCTCAAAAGACACTTAACTAAGTTTTTCTTATATTTAGTAATTTTATTTATTTCTTTTATGTACCCATCTTATTTAAATTATGATAACATCTAACTTATTTATTTTTATATATACGAGGCGTATGATAAAAAAACTTGCACTTTCTTTATTTGAGTATCCTGAGTTACCTCCATTGCCACCGAGATATCTTGTTGATCCTTGTCTAGATTTTTAGACTTGGTATAATTTTGCTCGCGGAAAAAAATAAAATGGAAGAGTCTATGGTGTTGGAGAGTATGCCAAAACAATCAAGCGACATGATAAAAGTTTCTGAATGAGAGTTGATAATAGAGAAGGACCATCACATCTACCTAATTTAATAATATTATTATTTTAATGTAACTTATAAATTTCCTTGAATAATAAATTCACCTTCAAATCTTTATATTTTATTTATTTAGAGTAATTACATAAAGAAGGTAAGTAAGATTAATAATTAAATTTATATTTTTTTATAGTAATATAATAATATTTATTTTTTAAAAAAATTAATTATATATTTCAAATCTTATAAAATAATTCAATTTCCATTTAATATTAGAATTTTTGATGTTTCTAGTAAATAAGCAAAAATAATTATGTGCAGGTTAAACAAAAGTTTTACTCTAAATATGATTTGATTGATGAAAATGTACTTTAAAATACTTTTATCATATTGGGGTTCATAAAAAATAAACGTCAGCATATTTGTTAACTGTTTTAGTAACATTCTTTAAGAGTATAAAAATATATGTTTTTTCTTAAATATTTGTATTTAATATATTGAAATTTTAAATAAATTGAATTTTCCAAAAAATAAAAAGGTATGTTTTTACTTTCAACTTAAAATATAAATACATAATATGCTACAACAATTGAAAAAAAAGTTACATATAATTGTTGAAGCTACAAACAAAATAATAGATAATACTCTTTAAAAAAATCATTATTTCAATTTCTAATTCATTAAATACTTTTTTTTAAAACATATCTTTTTTTATTTTGAAAAAATTATTTATTTTAATTTTTAATGTATTAAATATAAATATTTAAAATATATATATTTTTAAACTCTTAAAAATTGTCCCGAGCACTACCAAAGACTAAAACATAATTTGTGACTAACAAAATAAGAGAAAGCTTTGAGATCTAACAAGATTCAATAATCATGGAAGAAAAAGAGAAAGAAAAGCATGAGACGAAAAACTAAAGGTATGAGGTATCCCTTCTCTTCCTTTATTAACATATTTGCTAAAAAATGACAATTTTTTTTTTATTCTATTTGACACAGAAATTAATTATGAGATTAGACAAAATATATGATAAAGAACACGATAAAATATAAATTATTGTCTTTTATTAAATTATAGGAAATTTTTTTGTCTGAAACACAAATTATTAAAAGAATTTAAAATACCATTTCTAATCTCTCTTTATTAAAAATTTTAATTAATAAATAGAATATTAATATTTTCTTTATCAATAAAAAATATTATAATAAAATTATATTATTTTTGTTCAATGCATAGAATATGAAATAAATTGGAGTAAAATCTTCTACTCTTCGTTATTTTTTTTCTTCTTCTCATTATTTAATATTTTGATTCATAAATATTAATAAAAAAATATTATAGTAAAAATTATACAATTTAATGCATAAATACATCAAACAAAATAGACAAATAATTATCCAATACATCGACCATCAAATACAGAACAATATAAAAAAAATTAACTTATATTATACTGTCTAATATCTTTTTTGATCCCAATACTTTTTTTTTTTGCAAATCAAACGCAAAGCATTAACAAGTGACATAATATATTTTTCTTCTTCATTCTTGTTAACACAATATCACAAAACAGTGACCAGTGGCTTTGAAATTTGTAAATGCGAAGCACAAACCCCTTCAATGATGATCCTCCTTCCATCAATAAGAGAATTTTTCAACTGTCTCTCTATTCATTGCTTCCCATATTCTTTCTTTGCTTATACTTCAACCTTTTCTCCCTTACTCATTCACCAACTCAGCTTCTTCATTCTACCTCCATTTTCACCTACAACTCATCTGTTTCTTCTTCTCCTCCTTCAACTTCTTATATAGGTATATATATGCATAATTATTTTCTACTCAAAATTCTAGAATCCTTAGAAGCGAAGCTTTTAAATTGACAATTACAATTGTGTTGCAAAAACATAGTTTTTCTTATATTGTGGTTGCTAATGTTTTTTTTTATAAAATCTACTAGTTGAGTTTGTCATTAACTATCCATCAATTTTCTACTTGTTAAGGATTTATTGGTTTTTATAAATATTTTTTGCAGACAGGGACATGGGTTATGATTATGAGAAATCATGTGACTATTCAAATGGAGATTGGGTAAGTGACATGAGAGAAGCATTATACAATGTGACAACATGTGACACAATCAAAGAGAGTGAGAAGTGCACCACCAATGGAAGACCTGACTTAGGCTATCTTTATTGGAGATGGAAACCAACTCACTGCAATCTTCCAAGGTTTGAACCAAACACTTTCCTCAAACTCATTCAAAACAAACACATTGCTTTTGTTGGAGATTCTTTGGCTAGGAACCAATTAGAGTCACTTCTTTGCATGTTATCAACTACATCAACACCTTATCTTGTTTACCAAAATGGTGAAGACAAAAAATTTCGTCGGTGGCATTTCCCTTCTCATAATGTAAACTTTTCTTTGTATTGGTCCCCATTTCTAGTGCATGGTGTTGAAAGATCAAATGAAGGACAATATTATAATACAATGTTTTTGGATCTTGTGAATGAGAGGTGGGCAAGGGTTATTGATCAAATGGATATGATTGTGATATCAACAGGGCGTTGGTTTTTGCTTCCTTCAATTTACTATGAGAATGGTGTAGTTCTTGGTAGCTTGAATTGTCCTGAGTTTAATCATACTCAAATGGACTTTTATGCTCCATTGAGAAAGGCTTTGAGGACTACTCTTAATAGTATTATTGAGAGGAAAGTTGCTAAAGGAAATGGAATTGATGTGATTGTGAAAACATTTCCACCAGACCATTTTGAAGGTGATTGGAATAAGGGTGGTAGTTGTTCAAAGACTAAGCCTTATAGAAAAGAGGAAAAGGTAGTTGGAGGAATGGAAGGTGAGATTAGAAGGATAGAGATAGAAGAAGTGGAAAGTGCTAAGGTAAAAGCAAACCAATTTGGAGGAATTAGATTTGAGGTTTTGGATGTAACTAAATTGGCACTATTGAGACCAGATGGCCATCCGGGTCCTTATATGAATCCTTTTCCATTTGTAAATGGAGTTCAAAAATATGTGCAAAAGGATTGTGTGCATTGGTGTTTGCCAGGACCTATAGATACTTGGAATGAGATATTTTCAGAGGTGATTAAGAAGTGGAGGGTAAAATATCCATAGACAAGGGTGAGACATTTCACATATATTTTTGCATTACTTAATATTTATATAATTCCACCATCCATGTGATCATAGATATTACATTATAAATAAAAGATTTCTTTTCATAAGGAGATTATAATAGAAGAATGATCGATTGTTTTTATCCTTTTATTCACATTTTAATTTTTTTTAGTTGTTGGTTTATAAATATCAACACCTTGTATCCATTATTACATTATAGAAAAATATTAAAATAATAATATTGGTGCTAGTTGAGATGGAATCTAGGATCAGCAACTCGTATTTATATAATTCAACTAGCAAATATCAGATGAGTTATTCTACCAATCCTATTAGCATTTTTAATCATTAATGTATATATTTAAAAAAAAACATTATGATAATAATACTATCAACCACGGCCTTACATTTGATTTGTATGGTTGAATGTTCATGGCTTTTGTTGTTGCTTTTACTACTGCTTTAAAGGTCTGGATGTCAGTAATATCACTGAAATTCAAATTGTTTTTGGCTCGATTTAAATGTATGTTTTGTCTATTTTATGTTTATTTTTCACTTTTATATGGTGCTATGCTGGTATTTTTCGTATGTTACAGGTATGCGCTAAGTTGAAAATGGTATAAGAGAAAAAGGGTAAAAAAAAAAGAGCTAATATGAAGCAAACATCCAAGAAACATAAGGCAAATCCCATTGGAGGCGCAACCTGGACTCATGGCGTTTTTCATGGCCTAGTGGCGTTTGCCATGGGTATTGAAGACCAAGTCCTCCTATTTTCAAGGAGGCGGCGTTCGCCACACAGCGCGTGCCCAGAAATCCCGCAACTGTCCCAGAGAAATTTCCTCCAACTCACCCTATGACTCTCTCAACTGCCAGCTCACGAGTTTCAATTCTGTTTTCATGTATTTCACTATATAAGGCTTATGTTTTATGGAATTTGGCATCCATATTCCCTAATCATTTGTCTAGGCATATATTTCACTATAAAAGGCACTAATCGTTCACATTGAGAGATTAGTGCACTATTTTGAATGCTCAATCGCTTTGTACTACTTGGATCGCAAAGTTAATCTTACCGTCATAATCAAACCCAAATTTTTTTCATTTAATCAAGTCGTCTTGCACTTTATTTTCCACATTGCTTCTATTTTCGTAAGTTCTTATAATTTTCGTTATTAGTCGTTGTATGCTTGTGTTGCCTTATCTCAATATAATTTGCACTTTAATTGTCTTTATCATGTTTATGAGTTGCATGCTTAATAATGTTAACATGAGTTATACGAATATTATGTTCGGCTAAATCCCTTGAGTCTGGTATGTGAGTATCATCGTCCCGACGGGACTCGGTATTGATTTGGCGTAACTTTTTATAAATTATTTTTCTAGTTCTGGTTTTTAATTTAAAGGTTTAAAAAGTTTTGCCCGACAGTGAAAACATTAAGGTTTCGAGCCAACAACGCGACAATGTGAGGCTCGTTCCAGATAGTAAAAATTGGACATTAACTTTATGATTAATTATGAATTGTTGGTTTTCAAAAAGTATCTTGCTACTTAAATGAGTGAGCGACAACAAAACATTTATGGTCTCGAGATATAACACGAGCCAATAGCACAAGGGTGTGAGATTAGGATTTTTAAACTGGTATTTTTTGTTGAAAAGTAATTTAAAATATAGCATGCGCAAATGATTTATAAGTTTTATTCTAGTTTGAATTTTCCCCCTACTCGAAAGATTCATAGCCTAAGATGTACATAGCACCAATAAATAATGATAAGATTGATTACTGGTCCCTGTGAGTTTGATATCTTTTAAAACTACAATGGACTCCTGTAGCACCCTAAAATTTGCCCTATCATTTTGAATGCAACTGGCTTATGTTTATGCATTTTGCATTTCTGCATATCATGACATTGGTTCTTGAGACATGGGATCAAGGTGTTTCTATGACTCAAGGTTTTCTTTTATTGCAATTTTTCAAGCAGCAAGCATCAGAGGCTTCGGCATTTAATTTGCCCAGGAATCGAGTGCCCGATTTTATTTTTTCAACAGGTTATTTTTACCACAGGAGGCAATTCACCGGTAATCTTAGGCATTTTCACAGGTGCAATATCAAAAGGCAAGTTTCAGCGGTTTAATGTGGCTCAGAACGGGTGGAAATAGACGAGTATGCAAGTTTTCCTCCAAATGACGCAATTTTTCAAATTTGTGAAGGGTTAATCGATTAAACCATTTGCACTAGCAAATGGTTAATCGATTAACCAAAGTAATTTTTTCCCAGATACATGCATTTTCAATGCTGCCACCTTTGGGGTCCATTTTGATCATTTGTGAATTGGTTTTTGCATCAGTAGAAGGATCTAGAAGCACTCTAAATTTTGATTTACTTTCAAAGCCAATCCAATTTCCCTCCAAATTTTCATTCCTAATCTCATTTCAATTTTCAAACCCCTCACTCCAAACCACAATTTTACTTATAACCAAAACCTTATTTAAGCTAATTCACTTCAAACCACTCAAGAAGGACCCTCATTTTTCTGATTTCTCTACACATTGATCTCAAATTCTCTCAACTTTCTCTCAATTCCCTTATATTCCAAAACTCCATTAAAACTCTTTCAGTTATATTCTTTGATTCTTCATTTGAATCCTTGAATTCTAGAGCTTAACCTCTATCATTCATATCCATCGACTTCAATTCATCATTTGATTTTCCTTTGGATCTAGATCTAGTTTTAGAAGCAAGCTTTTATGTGATTTCTGGATTAACTTTTGCTTATTTGGCTCATTTTTCACTTCTCTTTCAAGAAATCTCTGGGATCTTGATGTTTTCTTGGGTTTCTAGCTTGGATCTATCATTTGCAGTATAACAATACTTACCAAAGCAATTCTCAATTTTGAAGGTTGGTTAATTCTAAATCCACTTCTGTTTTGAGCTTATTTGGATAATCAAAATGTAGATCTTCAATTTTAATTGATTTTGATGATTTGATCCATGTGGTTTGTGATCTCAATGCTTGGATAAGTTTTATTGATGTTTGATCACTGATTTTTGGTGTTAACTTCGTGCATAATTGATTATATGATCATTTTGATGATTGCGTAAATGATTAATTGCTGGAAGTGCTTTTAAATTGTTGATTTTATGATTCTAATACAGTGTTAATCGATTAACCAGTTGCAGCACAAAATTGGTTAATCGATTAACCAATGTATTTTCATCCATTTTTAAGTGGTTAATGATTAACCTGTTTGCTACTATAAATGGTTAATCAATTAACACTGGACCAGAATGCCATTTTTGGTTGTTTTCAAGCATGTTTTGATTTTTTTCTACCTCTAATCTTCATGGATTGATATGATGCATTTGTGTGGACTGTTTTTAACCTGTTTCATCATGCTTGATTGATTGATTGCGATTCTTCGACGTGCGACTTTTGGTTTTCGTTGATAAATGCTTGAGATGCTTATGTTGCTTACTTGATGTGATGATCATGTGTTTTGCTCATTTGTATTATGTTAATTGTTGATTTTTAACGATTATCTTGTTGGATCAGCCATGCATGTTTGTATTTGCTTCCAATTCGGGTTGTCGCATAATTGATTGAATTGTTTAATTGATGTGAAAAGCATGTTGTTCTTGTTGAATTCTTAATGATGCAATCTTGTAGAACATTCGTGTTTAATTGTTAATGCATGTCCATCTTTGCCTGATACTTGTTCATGATTGATGCTTGTTCATGTTATTTGTGTTGAAGCATGCCTGCTTCCCTGTATCTACAACTGTTTTATTCAGAAATGCATGTCGTTGTATGTTGTTCTTGCTTGTTGCCTGCCTTTTACACCTACTTTTTATGCTAAACTAGTAGCTGTTAAATGTTGTTGTGCTGCCTTCTGTCTTTTCACTATGCCAAAAAAGACCTTTAGCAGCGCTTTTTTTTGCCTTTAGCAGCGCTTTTTTTTTTTTGGCCTTTAGCAGTGCTTTTTTCACCCTATAGCACCGCTTTCATAACCGCTGCCTAATCCCCCTTCATCTCCCCCCTTTAGCAGCGCTTTTTAAAAGCGCTTTCTTAGACCCCCCCTTTAGCAGCGCTTTTTTAAAGCGCTGTCTTAGACCCCCCCTTTAGCAGCGCTTTTTTAAAACGCTTTCTTAGACCCTCATTTTCCAACCTATAGCAGCGCTTTTTTATGCCTCTTTTTGCCCCTTTAGCAGCGCTTTTTTTAAAAGCGCTGTCTATTCTTCACGATTTTGAATTTTTTTTTTTAAAATAATCACATTTTTTATATATTTTTCAATAAACCTGCTTATAACAAATACATTCCCTGCTTATAATTCAGGTCTTTAGTTCAACAGTTTGGCCTTATATATAACAATTATTTTGGCCTTATTTTTGTGTATTCATCAATTTGCAATATTATACACAATAACTAAAGTATACATTATAATTCATCACTTTGAAATATTATACACATAAACCTGCTTAAATATATTACAACACAGTCCGATCCTCAGAACAAAATCACATATACAATCAATTCACATATAATTACAAATCTGATAACTTTACAAATAGATACAATATCAGATGTCACATTAGGAAGAAATAAACTTAACAATCTTTACTTGACTATTGAATTCTGTATGAGACTGCATGGAGTTCACTATCAGCCACAAATACACGGTTTTCTTCAAGCTTTGTATCATTATTCAATTGAATTTCTTCCAAGCTTAATTCAATAGAACATGATTCATCTTAACAACAGCACAAGCAAAAACAATAATAGATAAGTAACAATACACTTGAACAGGCCCATGTAGATCATTAAGTACTAGATTTCTATGAAATTTTTAGTTCTTATCATTATTTGAAGTTTTTGTTAATCAGATTAATAATTAAATATGTATTTATAGAATTAATCTTCATTATCATTACCTTCCAATATATATTTCCTCATGAAGTACCAAAGCAGCCAATACAGTCACAATCACTGTCACAAGAGG